AAAAAAAAAAAAAAGCAGTTGTGGGGTTGCACCACCTATTAGTATTAAACTGAGCAAAGACTTTCTCATCTCTGCTTGTCTCCTTATGGCTACAATAGGGCTCCTCATTGCAGCCCTTCTTCTTGCCCTTTCTCATGAAAACTGCAGTGCCAAAGCAAGCCATCAATGTCCAGCTTCTTCTTGTGGCAATATTCTAAATATTCATCATCCTTTCTAATTAAGCACCGATCCACCAAAATGTAGAGACCTAAAGTATAAGTATAATCTATTCTTGATGTGAACCCCAAAAAGCGCCATAAGAACAAAGAGATTCAAAACCTCAAGGAAAGCCAAATAAGATTTATAGAAGACAAACTTTGACCTGTTATTTATATTGAAACAAGAACAAAAGATATAAAGAAATTTTGATGCCACACTCAAAAACGATTGAGAACAAGAGTAATAAATCAAATTAGAACCCCACAAAAATAATCTTGATAAGTTATGTAAAGTTCGCAAATGAACCAAGACAAAAATTTCTCAAATGGTCTCATATTCAATTAACCATCTCCAATTACGGTTACAACCCTTTAAATAGCTAAATTAGTCCCACTAAGAATAAGAAACTAAATTCTATACACAAATCCAATTAAAAGTAGAATTGGATGTACACTACTTCTAAATATGTTTGAATTTGTGTTATTCCTAATAAGATACGAATTAGACTTTCAATTAAAAACAATTTTTAGCCCAAATAACTCAAAAAAAACACAAATTTAAGTGGAAATAACATAAAAATTGTTCAAAACAACTTAAAATAATGCAAACTATCAGTTCGCAACATTGTAACAAAAGTGTGCATTTTTAGTCCAATGATTTCGATCCAAACTGTGTAATTTAGTCAAAACAACCTCAAATAAGTTGTTCTTGGACTTAAAAAATGTTTACTAAATATTAACAATGCTTCAAGTTTTGATTCACTTGTTGTGCGTTACTTTTAGCCTAAATCTCCTCAATAAGCACATTTACAACTTTTTGTATCTTTTAACTCTTGCTTTCGTTATCAGACAATGGTTCACTTGATGTCAAATGTGTGCTGTCATCTTGATTCTCATCAATTTTACTTGAACAATGTCACAGTTTTACACCCTAATTCGGGAAAATTCTATGTGCAGGAAATCGATTATAATCACTCAATGATCAAAGTTGAGGATGGATCCTGATGTTAATCAAGGTAACTATTCTTCACTACCTCTCTATTCCCTTGGCATTGATAAGGTCACAATAGACAGCAATCCATATTACTTTCATCCTGGAGAAGCTCATCTTTTCCTAAACTGTGGAAAACCAGTAAATGATATTTGCTACATGGATGCTTCCTCTTGCATTGATGCTACTAATTCGTCCAAGTCTAAAAAGGTATTATTATGCTAAGGTTGGAAGAACAACAGCATTTGAATTAGAGAAGTCAGGCCGGATTGAGCTGATGGTTCTTTGTTCTTCAAGAGAGATGAGTAATAATAACACTACCTACCTAGATCTTCACCATCAGTTATCATATGGATTTTGAGCTTTGGTGGTTTCCCTGCCCTTCTATATGGATTGGTACGTAATGAACATATGTTGCCTGTTGATTAAACACATGCAAATGCAACTCGCTAATTTTGGGTCCTTTTTTTTTTAAGTGAACTGTATGCAAATTCAATGTCTTGCTTCTCTCTGATTTTGGTATATGGTATCTTTTGCAGTTTTGGTCATGCATTACACTTATTTATCCTACACAGCACTCGCATTAGGTAATTAGAACCTTTCTCTTCTGGAGCTATTGTTTTTCATTTATCCATGTTGCACCGTCTTGAATCATGAGGCATGAAAAATTCAAGTACATTTGATGAGATTATAAGAAAAAAATATTAAGAACTCCAGGAGAAGCAGGCAATATTTATCGAATACTTTATTTCATAACCAATTATATCAATAAATATCTTTTTATACTCACAGGTGCACTTCATGGGGTAGCATCTACCCCTGCAATTCCAAGCTTCATCCTGTTTCTGTTATATAAATGGCAGAGAAGGCATTTATCTATGTATGATTCTATTGAAGAATTCTTGCAAGGACAATAACCTTATGTCAGTAAGGTATTCTTACTCAGATATCAAGAAGATGACAAATGGCTTTAAGGAAAAACTAGGGGAAGGAGGTTTCGGCAAGGTTTATAAAGCAAGGCTTATAAAGCAAGGCTTAAGAGGGGTGGTCTTGCTGCAGTCCAGTTATTGGGCAAATCCAAAATCACAAACCAAGATTATTTCAGTGAAGTAGCAACAATTGGGAAATTTCACCATGTCAATGTGGTAAAACTTATTAGCTTTTGTGCAAAGGGTTCAAACCACGCTCGTGTATGGCTTCATGCCTAACAGTTCTCTTGATAAATACATTTTTACTAAGGAAGAAAGTACAACCTTGGGTTGGGAAAGACTATACAAGATTTCTCTAGGAGTGGCTCATGGGATTGATTATTTACAGCAAGGCTAGAGAATAGCTAAGAAGATGATCATTGTGGCTTGGTGGTGTATATAGGTGAAACCGAGTGACCATGCTTTGATGAACAAAGTGGTGGAGATGCTTGAAGCAGATCTTGAAAGTTTAGAAATGCCTCCTAGGCGCTTCTAAATATATCCATATGCAACTGAAGAAGATGATGTTAAAATGAAAACCAACTCCACAAACCTTTCTAGTTACTAGTCCCTATGATGATATAGAGATAGAATCAGAATCAGTCAGTTTAATTGAAATGGAAATTAAGCAAAAAGGTTGCAGAGCAGCCTAATTAAGTAGAGTTTTCTTTATTCATGAGTTCCACAACAACAGCGGGTATCCATCCCCTTTTGCTACCCACTTCTCACCCCACGTAGATGTCACAATGGCTCTAAATTTGCATCACGTTTTTTGGTGTTCAATTCTCAAGAAATGGTTAATTTTCTTTCCAATTGATTAACTAACTGAGTTGCACCCACACAGACACACAGGAAAGAACACAAATAAAAACTAATAAATTGTAATTGGCATATATTACCTGAGGCATTAAGGCATCCATCCCATTAAGAAAAATCAAGCATTGTTGTCCTAGGCAGATGCATAATTCAAAGTTGGCCTGAGAGATTGAAAAAACATTCAGATGTGATGAAATGGGACTACA